CCGGATTTCATATCGTTGTGCTATCTTGAGGTAACACACACGCTAGATGACGAGCGTGGGGTTGTGCACCATTGGGGATTGTGACATAGTCCGTCCCGTATGACTGTTAAATCGCATATTTGATTGAAAATTGTTTGATATCATTGTGTTTTGGAAAGTATTATCATGTTTGGGCTGAATGCCATATCTGGGCCTCGTGCCAACTGTTTTGGACCCTTAGGGAATTTTTACTACTATTCCTCACTATTTTGACTTCATATTTGTACTCAGTCATGCTGTATTCTACTATTTTCATAACTCAGCCATATTTACTCCATTTTAATATTTAAATGATAGTTTGGGCTGAGCATCATGTTTTACTGTTGCCCGAGTGGCTTGAGAGATTTCTGACTGAGTGGGTCGAGAGCCTGTGTTGTGAGGATATTATAGGATCGTGCTGCACATCGCAACAGTGTTGTACCGATTCATGATTATAAGGCTGAGGGCCTATTTTGTTACACCACAAGGTGGCTTGTTATAACACCGAGGGCCAGTTTGATTATGCCACGAGATGGCTTGTTATAGCGCTTGGGCTGTAGGAGCCCCTCCAACAGTCTGCACATCCCAGTGAGCGCGGGCACCCAGTGTGAGATGTGATATTGCCCGAGGGGCTGATACGAGTGATTGTGAGGTAGCCCAAGGGGCTGAATCTGTTGGTATTTTGCCCGAGGGACGGTTATGGTACTTGTTTTGCCCTCGGGGCTGATTTATGTTTCTATCCTTTTCTCACTGTTTTCATCACTAGTTTGAACTACTGAAAGATGTTTTAAAAAGATTTTTACTGAACTGAGATGTTTTTACGAGTTTTATTGCTTTACTGCATTGTTCTGTGTTTATACTATTTTTTTGTAGTATAATGTTGTGGTTTACGTATTTTCTTACTGCTCAGCTGCCTTTACTTTTATTACTTACTGAGTTGGCGTACTCACATTACTCCCTGCACCCTGTGTGTAGATACAGGAGTCTTCGGTCACACTAGCGAGTGTTGATTTGTCATCCAACAGGCTTTCGGAGTTGACTAGGTAGCTGTTTAGCGTTCGCAGCCCAGTGCTTCTCCTTCCTATCTTTATTCCGTTTTGTATTAGTTTGATTCAGACTATGTTGTCTTTTCATATTTCTAGACGAGTTGTAATTGCTCATGACTGGTGACACCCTATTGTCGGGCTGTATTTTGTTCTGCACCATTCTATTCTACCTTATATTTTGGGATTTTAGCTTATTAATGACTTTAAATGACTTATTATAATTCTTTGACTGGTTTATGGGGTCTGTGTCGGCTGGCCTAGTTTCACGATAGGCGCCATCACAATCAGGTCAATTTTAGGGTCGTGACATATTAGGAGTTGTAACTTCAAAACTAGCTAGAATAATAACATAATTATGCTAAATGAAGTAAATAAAAAAAATAAAAAATATGAGGAACTGCATGGAATCACAAAAAATAAAGGTTGGAAAATGAGAATATTATTTAAATATTAAAAAATAATGTATCATTTTAACATAGTTAAGTTTGCATATAATCTCATTCAATAACAAAGATCAACTTTGATGACATTACTCATTATACGCCAAGTTTGTGGATGATTTATTCTTTCTAAGATTACGAGGTATAATATTTTGAGAAGAATTAGAATAATAACATAGCTAAAGGTAATAAAAAATAAAAACATAATTAAGAAAGAAATAAAATGAGAAATTATGTAGAAACACATAAAGTAAAGGTTGGGATATGAAATAAGGAAACAAAAGATAAATAATGCAAAAAAATAATATTTAAAATAAAAAATAAATTAAAAAGAAGAAAAAGAATAGGAATGAAAAGTAAATTAAAAAGAAAAGAAAAGAGATTCAAAAAATAGCCTTGTAATTGCATCATGTAGCTACCAGCAATTCTCAGCCCCTTGAGAACTGGAGAGTGTAATTATACCCCCCTCAATTGTATCCAATTATATGCCGACAAAATAATTATTTGATTAGATAAATGTGCCAAAACTGTGTAATTACATCTAATTTCATCCAAATTCAATTACAAAGTGACTTTTCAAACAGGCCCTAAAAGCACGTGTTCAGATAAGCTAATGAAGTGACGGACTAGTCAGCAAAAAATGCATGTAGCTTGGACATTTTTGAAAATCCTTTGGATTACCCGTTCCCCTGCTTTTATCATTCTTGCTTTTGAAAGAGATTAGAGCCGTCAAAATGGGCTTGACCTGTGAGGCCAGCCCAACCCAACCCGCTACTTGGATAGGGTTGAGTTAGGATTTTTTGAGCCCATTTAAAATTGAGGCTTATAAGCCCGGCCCAAGTCGGCCCACTGGCCCTTGAGGCTTGACCGAGGCTGGGCCTTGGTCGGCCCGTGGGCCAAAAATTAATTAAATTCAAATTAGTTAACAATTAAATATTTTAAAAAAGTAAACACTAAAAAAACTATTAACTATAGTCCCCATTCTCCAACCCTAGTTTGCTCATTTATCCTTCCGTATCGACTAGAAATTTTGATTTTTTACATGCATGTAATATGACAAAACTAGTTTTTCTTTTGCTTAATTAATAACGAACTCGAAAAGTTTTAGGTGGCCAATAATAATAATCTTTTTTCAAAAGAAAATATTAGTTTAAGTGGCCAATGATAAGTTTGGATTACTTTAATATATTGTTAATATTTAAACTACTCTTCAATATAGAAAAAGATCAATTTTAAACACACACACAAAAAAAAAATTGACAACTAGCAAATTTCAGAAATTTGAAAAATTTTATGGACTATAATGATGAAATCAGCAAATGATGTTAATCCTAAATTAAAAGACCTCAGCATATAAACTTATTGAAGCAATCATTGAATCTGAGGAAAATGAAAGAAAAGTATTAAGAAAATATTCTTGTAACTTTAAAAAAGAAGAGCTAGAGATATAGAGAATTTACATTTCATTGTGAGATTCATCGTCAAATATCAAACTTTTTGTATGCTCTAAGCAAACAGAAGTTGTTTACATGATTAATCGATTATGTCACGAAAAAATATTTAAGAATTTAAAGACACTCTTTTTTCTTAAAAAATTTTGAAGGGCCGGCATCCCTAGCCCGCGGTCCTTTTAGAGCTGGGTTGGGTTGGTCATTTTAAGGCCCATTCATATGGCGGGCCGGTCTGTCCTAGCCAACCAAATTTAAAAGCCCACAAGATTTGGGCTGGCTTGGCCTGTCCCGTTTTGACAGCTCAAAGAGATAGCATAGGGCCTATGTTACCTAGACTAGTCTCCCTTTGTAATGACACTTAAGTAGCTTTATTTTGAATAAAAGTCTTTTATTACCAAAAAAATGGTCCAAAATCGTTCCTTAATTTGGTTTCACTCAAAATGGTCCCTAATGTAAGGTGAAGCAATTAAAATAGTCCTCCAAGTTTTAAAACTGATGCATATATATTTAGTTCAGTCCAGCGAGAGCCATCTATATCTAATGAAACAAATATAAATCAACGACTGTGTTACCAAATGTTTCAAAAGGACTCAATTGGTTCTCTAGGTCTTGTATTTCTTATTTCTTATGAATCATAATTGGAGAGAGTGAGAAACACTAATTTAGAAATTTGTGAACAACATAAGAGAGTTGCTGAATAAAAAAGGAGAATTCAAGCACTTGACCGTTGAATATTTAAGAAAATATATTAGTGATCATTTTAAGTAAATGGGATAGTGATAATCTTGTAATTATGAACCCCGATTTACATGTCTTTTTCTTCATTTACTTCTTTTTTGGGTCAAAACTAATACTAGTATATATTCCCAACGACTGACTCGATCACATGGAATAGGCATAGGCTAGTTTGCTTTGAACTGTCACTTGAGTGTATCTGCATATAAAGTAATCAAGGTTTGAAAATAAACTAAATGGTTAAATCTCATACCAAGAACAAGAAAAAGCTAGTACGTATCCATGAAGAGATCTTACTGCGTCGAAATATTATTATCGAATGAACATGGGAATCTCGATCGCCCGTGAAATGAAGAACGGGAAAAGAACAATAAAAGGATGTTGTAAATTATACTTATTGCCCTCCAACAAACAGGAGGAATAACAATATTGAAAACTAACATGTACATTAAATTAAATAAGTTAAATTTAAAAATTTACAAATATGAGTGAGAATCCATGTCGATGATAAAAAATTTAAATTATTAACCATTATTTTCCATTTATGAATTCAATGTAAGCATTTATAAGTTTATGTAAAATAATAAGACGCCAACATAAAAGTCAAGACTAACGAATACGTAATTTATTAATAAACATAACTTCCCAAGCCGTGCCTCTCTTTCCTCCCAAACCAAACCAGTACTAATTAAGACTTTCCAAATTCTTCATACAAACATAGTGTGCAAAAGGACTTCATCTAGAGGGTTATAGTACTACTTTATCCGTATCAATTTATGTGAGATCAGTGCTTTCTTCATTATCAAGAATTATGCTTTTTTATATTTTTTATTTTATCTTTTTAATAAAATAATTTATGATCACACAACTATTTATATGTTATTTTATAAGTTTTTAATTTTTTTCTTTTTTAAATCGGTATGCAATCACAGTACATCACATAAAATAAAACGATATAAAAAATATTCGCTCTGTTTCAGTTTAGATGATTTTTTATTAGTTCGTTCAAAAAATAATGATAAATTTCTGTTATTGGAAATAATTCAATTTTAAACTTTTTATTTTACAACCACACAAATGTCATGTCCCTACAAAACTTTTATCCCTTAAGTTTTTAAGACTACAAGTTTCAAAAATTATTTTTTTATTCTTAAACATCGTGGCGAGTCGTTTAAATTAAAAGGAAGAACTAATTAGCTACTCGTTAGATCGAACCATTGACCGCCCGCCTTCTCAAGCAAGGAATATAAAAACGTAGGCTTAAGAAAACAGAGTGCTCCCACCTCCTGAAATGTTTTAAAGAAAAACAAGCTGAGACCATCACCGCCCACATTCTGTAAACGTGTCCATGCCGTTGGCTTCTCTTCTTTAATTTCATCATTCTTGTTTTCATTCTTCTTTCTCAAGTAATTATCTGTAGCAATTTTGTGCTTTTCTTCAGCTAGAGTTTCGTTTCTTATATACTGTTCCGAATTATTTCCATCTTCCATGAAGAACATTTTGCAGCATCAGCCTCAATTGTTGTCTCTTTTTCCAGTAGAAGCAATTCAAGATGCATATCCCAACCGTTACAAGATTTATGCTCCTTCCAATATGGGAAAAGCGAAAGCAGAGCACAACTCCGAGCACCATTTGATGGAAAGCACAAACTCAGGCTCTGATCATAACGATGACATTCAAGAATCAGCAGTTTCTGACTCTGAGAGCGGTATTTTTGGCTCCAATTATCAAGAGAACGCACAATCAGATGATTTGATAAGGATTGATGAAGGTGATAAGATGCATCAGATTATCAATAAAAAGTTTATTTCAGGTTTGGGTATACTTGGATTATCTACACAAATTGAGGCCATTGACAAGAATGCTTATTCTAGCTTCACAATGCAAGCTAGGCTTCAGTCATTCCTTAGATTTTCCAAAGCAATGGAGAAAAAATGTGGGGGGAATGCTAATGAGAAGTATGCTTGGTTTGGAGCCTCCAAGGATGATATTGACAGCATATTTTCTCATGGTTTTGGGAATCCTATGAACAATGGAGCTTATGGTCACTGCATTTGCCTCTCTCCTTATGATTATCCTCTTGATTGGTATGTATGCTCATCTTTTTACGATTGAAATGTGTAGCCGTCTCATCTAAAAGTTTATTCAGGTGCATGTCTTACTTTATACATACTGTAAGAACATTGTTTGCTCTGATACCGTGTTAAATTGGGTGATCACCTAGTCTAAAAATTTAAATTATTAGGTAGAAAGCATCTATTTTGTTTGTTTTAGATCTCTTTGAACTTTTACAATTATATTTTTTTGACTAATTCCTAATTTTCTTATGTCTTTCAGTCTTCAAACAACTATTCCTGATAAGGATGGGCTAAGACATTTATTGCTTAGTCGTGTGATACTAGGAAGATTAGAAGTTGTTCATCCTGGTTTAGGACAATCTCATCCAACTTCTGAGCAGTTTGACACTGGGGTTGACAATTTACATTCTCCAAGAAAATACATTGTGTGGAGTAGCAACATGAATGCTTATATTTTCCCTGACTTTGTGATCAGTTTCAGAATAATTTCGAAGGTCAAAGGTACGCTTTAATACTAAAGAAAATTGGAGATGCTTTGATTTTGGATGATTGTTCTGTAGTATTAATAAATTTTGCTCATCCTTCACTTTGCAGAGAGTAGAATATTTTCAGTTCCTTTAAAAAGTCCAAGTTCAGCGTGGATTTCTTTTCCTGCTTTGATATCTGCACTATCAAAAATTTTGCCGCCTAACACCGTCAAACTGATTAAGAAATATCATAGTGATTATAAGGTAAGTGCTTGCTATTTATTAAATTCTCGACTATCTTTCTTCGATTGGATGTGACTATATTTTTCTACTTCCCCTATTTTTATCCCATTTTTGTTGAAGTCCAGTATATTTTTTTAGGAGAGGAAGATCACTAGGCGCGGGTTGATACAACAAGCTAGAAAATTAGCAGGAGATGAGTTGTTAGCTTTAATCATAAAGTCCTGCAAAACTAAGGTATGCCATCACATTAAATCTTGTGTTTGAAAAACTGTGACTGGAGCAATTATTATGGTAAATTTAGTTCGACTGAATAAGTCTTCTACCATGTAATTCTCGTGATCACAAGATATACCAAAAGACAAGTACAACTTATTCTGCAGATTAACAATGCATTGTACCATCAATGGAAAAGAATTCTTGCAGTTTACTATAATAAGTTGTTAGCTTTTCAAGTTAATTTCTGTAAGTTATAGGCTCACTCTCTTCCATGGCATGGTTTATTCAATAGGTAATTAAGCAAAATGAAACAGCCAAAATTAGGATGCCTTTGTAAGTTCCTATTCTAGTTGTTCAGAATCTTACAACAATTGTTTGTGCTTTTGTATTTGCAGCAAAATAAAGGATCAACTGCAGACTCACCCAGAAGCAGCTCTATCAACCTTCAACAATGGGATAATGAAACCTATCCTTTGCCTAAACAGGATTCCATTTGATATAATAGTTTTGGAAGTAGCTTATTATCCACACACAATATTTTTTATTCTCTTCAGAACCTTTTTTCCCTCCCCNTAAATTATATGGCGGTGTTTGACTCGGCACAGAATTTAAGAAAGTATAATAACCCATACTTTTGAAGTAAGATTTGAATGGTTCAACGTATGTAAGAATACCCGAGTCCTAAAGAAATTGAGCTATACTCAAGATATACGTCATCAAGAGTCGATAAAAAGTTTCGTCGGAATTAAGTGGGTGAATTAAGCTCGTATAAGGTACTACTTCAGTCACGACCCAAAATCCCAACATTGGGGTCATGATGGAACCTAACATCCACTTGCTAGGTAAGCCGACGTGAGATAATTAAATAGCCAATTTTAAATAGTTAAAAATACAATGATGATATACAATGAGAAATAAAACCCAATCTGATACATTACTAATATAAGTTACGTGATAATATCTACTCCCAAAGATCCGGAGTCACGAGTACACGAGCAACTAGAAACCTACAAATAGATTTTGAAACAAATACAATGTTTCGAAGGAAATGAATAGTAAAAGTGTGAAAGAGGAAGGGGACTTCAAGGTCCGCGGACGCTAGCAGATCTACCTTGAGTCTCCGTAAGCAGTGATCCAAGATGGCGCACCTCATGCACCGTGGAGATCAATACCAGTATCTGTACAAGAAGTGTAAAAGTGTAGTATGATTACAACCGACCAATGACTCAATAAGTGTCAAGCCTAACCTCGTCGAGGTAGCGACGAAGCTATGATAGGACACTATGTAAATAACATGTACAAATATATATAAAGAAGCAATAATAACAGAGAATGGTAACGTACAAACTAGGAGGGGGTATGCAAAAGGGGGCAAATATAACAACCGCGACAGGTATGATATCACGAAAGAGCCAAGAAAATCATTAACCAATGAAATAAGATAAATCAATGACATGAAAATGGCACGGCATAACCCCTTGGTGCTTTTACTCTCATCCTTAAAATGTAATAATGAATAAATGAGATGAATGGCACGGCATCACCCTCCCTGCTTTTACTCTCTTCCTCACCATGTGATAATGAATAAATGAAATAAATGGCACGACACCACTCTTTGTGCTCTTACCATCGTCCTCACCATGAAATAATGAATAAATGAATTCAGGAAATAAATAATGCAGAGAATATATTTAACGTCAAATATGGTGTCAAGATATCAGACTTCAGCTTCTAAAAATATTAAACAACTATGAAATAAGCAATAATTATGAAACGAATAATCAAAGAAGTAATAACCTAGCGTAAGCAAGGATATCATAATTAACAATGCAATGACACAAAGAAACAAGTTTCACCCACATGCTTTAATCTAGTTACAACGTATAAGTACTCGTCACCTCACATATACATTGTTCCCAGACACAAACACGTACCAAATCGACTAACCAGTCCTAATCCCTTAAGTTAAGGTTAACCACGACACTTACCTCGCTTCACAATCAAATCAAAGATCAACTGGCGCCTTTTCTCTAAAATGTGCCTCCGAACCAATCGAATTTAACCAAATATAGTTCAAATAATTCAAAATAAGATTTAAAAACTACCCATGAGTAAAAAAGATTCAATCTTTAATGATAATAGAAAAAGTCAACAAAAGTAAATGCTTGGCCAAAATTCGAGATTTGGACCAAAAATCAATTATCCATTCACCCCCGAGACCGATTATGTGATTAGTTTCGAAATCCGACCTCAATTTGAGGTCTAAATCTCAATTTCTCAAAATCCCCAATTTTTACCTAAATCCCTAATTTCTACCATGAAAAAGCATATACTAAAAATGGAATCAATGGGTGTTGATGGAAATGGAAAAAGGGTTAAAATTTACTAACCTATGAAATAAGGATGAAAAACCTCTTCAAAATCGCCTCCAGGTCGAGCTCAAACTTGAAATTGGTGAAAAAAGGGATAAATCCCTACTTTTGGATGTTTTAAATCATTGGTGTCAGGTCTTCATCGCGATCACGAAGAAATGCAGCCCAAATGGCCTTCGCGTTCGTGAGATGCTCTTCGCATTCGCGATGGCCCTTCCTCTAGCCTTCGCGTTCGCGACCCTTGGATCTCGCTCGCGTAGAACACCCAACAACTCCCCTCCCAGGCCCATTACCTATCGCGTTTGCATGGTGTTGCTCGCGTTCGTGAAGGGTGATCCCAACAGTGCTTCACATTTGCATAGAAGAAATCCTACGCTAGCCCAGGTTACCCTTCGCGATCACAAGTGTGGCTTCGCGATCGCGAAGAACAAAGCACCAGACACCAAAAATCTCTGAAACCAACAATCATTCTAAGTCTTAAATGATCCGTAACCTATCCAAAACTTACTCGAACCCCTGGGGTTCCAAACCAAATATGCACACAAGTGGAATAAAATTATACGAACTCTCTTGCGTGATCAAAACACTAAAATAATACCTAGAACCACGAATCAGACATCAAAATGCATGAAGTTTTCAATGAAACTTAAGAACTTTTAAATTTATAATCGGACATCTGAATCACGTCAAATCAACTCCAGACAAGTCATAAATAGTGAAATGAACTTTTTCCAAGTTTCGGAACTAAAATTCGAACCTTGTAGTAACAAAATCAACTTACGGTCAAACTTAGAAATTCTTTAATCCTTCAAATTACTAGTTTTCAATAAATCGCGTTAAATCAAGTTAGCGACTTCTGAATTCAATTCCGAGTATACGTCCAAGTCCCAAATTATAATACGGATCCACTGAGACCGTCAAAATATTGATTCGGGTCCGTTTACATAAAGTGTTGACCGTAGTCAACTCAAATTATTTTTAGAGCTAAAGTTCACATTTTCGTCAATTGTTCACATAAAAATATTTCAGAAAAAGACACGGACTATGCACTCAAATTAAGGAAGGATAAACGGAGCTATTCGAGGTCTCGGAGCACATAGATGAATGCTAAAACTCAAAATGACCTATTAGGTCATCACATTCTCCACCGCTAAAATAAATGTTCGTCCTTGAACAACCATAAAAAGGTACTTGGACTGGTGAAAAGGTGTGGGTATCTACTCCGCATCTCGGACTCGGACACCCACATGGATGCCTCGATCGGATGACCTCTCCACTGTACTCTAACTGAAGAATAATACTTAGACCTCAACTTCCAGACCTGCAGGGCTAGAATAGTTACCGGCTCATCCTCATAAGTCAAATCCTTGTCCAATTGGACTGAGCTGAAATCTAACACATAGGACGGCTCACCCTGATACTTTTGGAGCATGGAGACATGGAACACCTGGTGGAGTGCTGATAAAATAGGTGGCAATGCAAGCTTTTAGGTCACCTCACCCACTCTCTCAAGAATCTCAAAGGGTCCGATATACCTAGGGCTCAACTTGAGCTTCTTTCCTAGCTTCATCACATCCTTTATGGGTGAAACTCGAAGCAATACCCTATCTCCAACCATGAATCCAACATCACAAATTCTTAGATCATCATAAGTCTTTTGCCTGGACTGAGCTATGTGAAGTCGATCATGAATTATCTTGACCTTTTCAAAGGCATCCTGAACCAAATCGGTAACCAATAATCGAGCCTCTACCGGCTCAAACTAACTAATTGCAGAATGGCATTACCTCCCGTATAATGCCTCATAGGTAGCCATCTAAATACTTGATGGGTAGCTATTATTGCAGGAAAACTCTGTAAGCGGAAAGAACTAATCCCAAGAACCCTTAAAATCCATAACGTAGGCACGAAGCATATCCTTCAATATCTGTATGGTGCGCTTGGACTGACCGTATGTCTGGGGGTGGAATGTTGTACTCAACTCAACCAGTGTGCCTATATAATGCTATACGACCCTCTAGAAGTGCGATATGAACTATGTACCCCGAACAGAAATGATACACACTGGTACACCGTGAAGAAAACGATCTCGCGGATATAGATCTTAACCAACCACTCTAAGGAATAGGTAACTACCACTGGAATGAGATGTGTTGACTTGGTCAACCTGTCTATAATGAACCATAGTGTGTCGAATTACTTCAATGTTCGTGGGAGCCCAATAACAAAATCCATGGTAATACGCTCTCACTTCCACTCAAGAATATTAAGCTTCTAAAGCAAACCGACATGCCTCTGATACTCGTACTTTACTTGCTGACAATCCAAACATCGAGCCACATATGAAACTATATCCTTTTTCATTCTTCTCCACCAATAATGCTGCTGCAAATCCTGATACATCTTGGCAGAACCCGGATGAATGGAGTACCGCGAACTATAGGCGTCCTCAAGAATCAACTCACGAAGTTTATCCACATTGGGCACACAAATCCGACCCTACATCCGCAACACCCCATCATCTCTGATAGTAACATGCAGGGAATATATGCAAGGCTACCCTTACTTATAGTCTTTCTACTCAAGGCATCGTCCACCACATTAGCCTTCCGGGGATGATACAAAATGGTGATATCATAGTTTTTCAACAGCTCCAACCACCTCATCTGCCTCAAGTTGAGATACTTTTGCTTGAAAAAATATTGTAGATTCCGATGATTAGTGAACACCTCAGATGACATGCCGTAGAGGTAATGCCTCCAAATCTTCAGTGCATGAACAATGACTGCCAACTCTAGGTCATGAACATGGTAATTCTTCTCATGAACCTTCAACTGCTGCGATGCGTATGCGATCACTCTACCATCCTACATCAATACTACACCGAGCCCAATACGCGATGCATCATAATACACCATGTAGGATCCTTAACCTGTAGGCAACACCAACGTTGGTGCCATAGTCAAAGCAGTCTTGAGCTTCTAAAAGCTCAACTCACACTCATCGGACCATCTGAATGGAGCACCCTTCTGCGTCAATATAGTTAATGAGGCTGCTATGGATGAAAAAACATCCACGAACGGTTATAATAACCCGCCAAACCCAGAAAACATATAATCTTTGTAGCTGAAGTAGGTCTAGGACAGTTCTGAACCTCCTCAACCTTCTTATGGTCCAATTTTATGCCCTCGGCC